GTTGAAAAACACTAACTACTGTTTTCAATTGTACTGTTTCATCTTTGCACTTATGACAGTATAATTCAGTACCTGCTCAGAGTTTTTCATCAGTTATTGGGTGTAGTACTTCATTCACCACTCAACCTGACGCGTACTTGAAATATCTTCAAGGTAGTAAACCGGTGCTGGTTCTTGGTCAGTGGTAGTGGGGACCACTGCACTACTGCACATTAAAATAATTGATAAAGAAATCTAGAACTAGAGCAACATGTTGACCTTAGAACCAAATAGTAAAGGCCTTTGGTGAAACCCCAAATCTTAAAAGTACATTTTCCAAAAGTTGCCACCAATCGCGCAGCAGCAAGAACCCAATTAGAACGGAGATGCAGCAGCTGCAGCTCTTTGACTGTAACTCATGTGTCCCTAATGTTAGCTGACAGGCTGGATTGCTGCTTGGACTCCTGGCTGATTCCTTTTTTACCTGTCTCTCCAGCCTGTCAGCGTTTTGACTGGGGGCTGCTTCTGGTACTGTACTCTGCTGACACTGATGGCTGCACAGCACACATCCCCATGCACTCAGGCTGAAAACTCAACCTGGCATTTTCCTGGAGCTGGAGAATGAGAGAGAAGGGAGACGGAGCTCTGCTGCACTGACAGGCAGCTCCAGAACTTCACTTATGACACACACACACACACACAGGAATACTGCATGGAGCTGATACTTGGAAACTTCCCTGTATGTGGAAGACAGCTTTGTTTACACTCGCCTGTTGTACGCCATACATTGGATGGTGCTGCATTCACTTTCTTTCATTTGTGTTGTTTTTTTGGGGGGTGGGGGGTTAGCGTAGCTTACTTATGTACAGTATGTGAGTTCAGACCTACGGTGAAAATAACGAGGAACGTTGTACCATGGGAACAGAACAACGTCAGTCGAGGACCCCCAGTACACAGGTTTATGAAGTACCTGGTGTTCAAGAGCCCAGCATGTGTTTGTGGAGTGGTCAACTTCAGGTCAGAGGCCTGGTTTGCATCAGACCAGTCTCACTGATTGCAGGACAGGAAGTAAGTCTACGACTGACACTCTGACTGACATGTTTGGATTGTGAAGGGCTGCAGACCGAATAATATTGTACAGGACAACAGCCTGACTAAAGTTTTTCCTGCAAAAAATATATTTGAAATCTATGTTTCTTCAACATCTACTGGACTCTGTTGGATTTACTCAGGAAATCAATGCTAGTTAATGTTTCATCAATTCATACTTTTTTACCTCTAATCCTTTTCAGGGTTGTAGGGGAGCTGGGGCATTAGAGGCATTAGAGATCAGGTTAGTCAGCGCTGTATATCGACCGTAGGTGTGTGGTTGAATGGTTGTTGGTCTTTACCTGGGAATATGACACTGAGGTGAACTGCCAGGGTTTAACATCGTATTCAACCGCTATGATAAATGATTCAAGGCTGATTCAAATATGACATCTTGACAAAGAATTTAAGAAAACAAATTTCTGCAGTAGCCACTGCTACTGCATCACCTTTGATACAAACATACAGGTCAGGGACAGAAATGACTGTAACAACGGCTTGACTGTATGATGTCCGCTTGTGTCACGTTGTACCATCCAGTGATCTCCTTTTATCGATCCTCCTTTGTTCATTTCCCATTTCCACTCCTGTTCCTCCTCCTCGTGTGTTTCCTCCCTCTCTCTGCTGTTAACCACTGCCATCTCACCACGGGGGAAATCTCTATCGCTGCTCTGCACTTCATCTTGAATTAATGCAGTGTATTGGCAGAACATGGAGCAGGAGGTTCTGTGCTGCCAGGGAGGCGTGGTCAGGTGAATAAAGGACGGAGACACGTCAGTGACATGGAGTGTTTGGTTTTAGTTTAACAAATATCTCTGACAGATTTAATTTAATTTACTTAAACTGGCAGATTTTCATACTTGAATGTGACAGAAAAGAAAGTTGGACTCATCTATGAAGCAGTGTCAGGCTCTGAAGTGAAACAGTGAATAAAAGGTGAATGAAGACAAAGCTCCACAGCGATTTGTCTTCCGTCCCCACAGAAAACAGTGACGCTATTATTCTAAATAACTGACAATATTTTCCTGTTCGTTTTTCTACATTTCATTATCTTCTCCATTCATTTGCCGAGCCGCAGCTGAAAGACAACTGGTGGAGCTAATTTACGGGGAACGGTGTGTTGGTGAAGAGCACGAGACGCCTGCAATTTAGCTAAGGTATATGGAGAGGACTTTGTTTTTTAAATTAAAAGTTGTACCTGGATTCTGCCTGTCACAGTCTTCTCTGAAGATTCTCGTCAGTGTGGGCTCGGCGGGGGCTCACAGCCACAGATGTTTCCTCACAGCGTGAACCGATGACTGCAGAGAAAAACCCCAGAGGGGCAGCCTTGAGTAACTTTGTTCAGGAACTCACAAGGTTAACAAGTTGAGAGAAGGCGTACGTCAGGGACTCTCTGCAGCTCATTCATTAGAAGCATGTTCATTTATTTAATTATAAAATAGCAATATTAGAGTATATTCACTTTATTTTTCAAATGTCTAAATCTAACATTGTTTCATGTTTCCACTGTGATGTCCATTGAAATGTTTTGATCTTCATGATCTCTTCTCTTGATGGACACTTGCTACATTCTTCTGTACAACATATATTCAAGTGTACTTTTCTTTACCAGTTATCAGCAGTACAAATACACAGTTTATACCTCTGTAGCTCATGTACTTGTCAGTAATTTACGAGTTGATGCCTGCATTTTATTTTAATTTTGAAAACGGCTGATTCAGATTTTGAAGCTAACAAGCTATGGATTTAGCCCTTAACTTCAGGGTTGGTCAACTCTGTCAGTTGACCAAGAGTTGTTTGACTGCGTTGGGGATTTTGACTCAGCGAGTTAGTCAGGAGTGACGTGAGAGGCTAATAGTTAGTTTGAAGTTTGATAACAAACTCTGGGCTGAGTTGACAGATTTGTGGATTCAGTACAGCTGTGGTTCCCAAACTTTTAAGGTTTGTGACATCACAAATTTCTGACGACCCCAGTCATGAGATCGTAGTCATCAATCAAGATGTGTCAGCTCAGATATTTTTATATTCTGCTTTTTATTCTATATTTTAACTCCCCAGTGAAAAATACAGTTTTGTTTTTAATCATATATTTAAAAACAAAATCAGTCAAAACGTTTTTTTATCATCTTTTTCTTTTTTATTAAATTACTGATGGGCATTCCAGGTGACCCCACTTGGGGTCGCCACCCCAGGGTTGCAGAACACTGCAGTGTAGGAAATGATTTGTTCTCCAGGGTTTCAGGAAAATAACTGCCATCTGACTAGAAAGTAAAAATGCATTTAATCTGTATTAAGAAAATCATATATTTTCAGATTAATCAGAATTATCTAAATAATTAACATAACCAATTTCAACGACACTAAAATATTTATATAAAACTATATATAAATATGTATACACATATGTATATATTTGTACATATATTATAGTGTTGCTAAAATTTTTTTTATTTTATTTTTTAATATTAACAAAAATCTTTCACGATGCTCAGTGTTTCATTCACCAAAGCCCAATCCTGTGAATTGTGTTGTTCCTGTCTGAGTTCTTCTTCACCCTGTAATAAACAGGAACCCACTAAAGAAATGTAAATCTACAGTACATTAAGATTCTGCTGCTGCTCCCGTCTGTGTTGTATCGCTGCAGGCTGTAGCTTAAAGGCCTGGTTGGCTGCAGGCTCTGTCTGCCTGTCTGCAGCCCCAGCCGTGGAGCTGAGCTTGACCCAAATCATTAGACACACTGGATGAATAATGAATGCACAGCCAGAGAGTTAGCCATTCACACACACACAGACAGACAGACAACCCACGGGCTAGAGCCGTCAGAAAAACCCATCAGAATGGATTCAAGGTTTTCTCCTGTTGCTCAGAAGAATTCAGTCAGTCAGCAGGTTGACCTCCGGGATGACCTTCAGCTCAGTCAACCAATAACAGCACCTTCATTCTCAACAGTCAGCCAAACAGCTGGCCTCACAGTCCTATTGTCACTTCACTTTCTCACATTCCATGCATTGTTCTTCATGATACTGCTCACCACGACCACTGCCTCCCACTCACCTGCCCCACCGTGTGTAAAAAGGCCAAAACTGTCAGAAATATTTAACCACATTTCAGTGTTTCCTCTGATGCACAGACAGGGTCAGTTGACCCAGGCCTGCCTGGAAAACAGAGAGGCCGAGTCACAGCAGACAGATCTAAGTTTCTTGAATGACTTTTTTTTTTCTATAATATGAAATATTTCCACCTCATTCCCAGCAGCGGAAAAGGGTTTAATTGACATTCAGTCCTGGGTCAAATGACTCTGCAGTTTAATTTCTGTCCAAACAAAAGCCTTGGGTGAAGACATTTCCTGCTCTTCTGCTTCATTCTAACACTGACAGCTACACAATAACACCCTCTGCCTGCTAATCTGTAAATAATCACTAGTATTTGCAAAGTGTATAATTAACCACTTGTGACAGCGGTTGACATTTAAATTTGGGTGAGCGTGAAGCTGGAAGAGTTTGGAGTGGAACGGATAAAAGTTCACTCAAGGCAGGAGGCCGTTTGTGTTTTTATGTCGCCTACTGGTGTTAACTGTCAGGGAAAATCAGACAAAGACGTGTTCCGTTTACCTGGTTACAAACATGAACACCAACTAACCCTGTTCAAACTTTTGGAACTTTTGTTGTTGTTGTCACAGATTAAACTGGGAGGTCCCTGAGAGTCTTAAACTGTTTTTATTTTGAAGTTATCAGAGACGTCAGAATCTTGAATGGCTGTATTCAAATTTTAGAAAAAACATATTTATTATATGAAATGTGGCGCTTTGGCCCAGAGGCAATGTCTCTGTTATTGGTGTGGAACCCCAGGGTTCACTTCCTGGGTAGATCGAATCCTGGTTAGGGCGGTTGGTACCTTCCAGTGGACTCACCACCTGCAGGAAGGTTCAGGGGGGTTGGTTTGGTGCAGTGTGATTTGGGTGGAGGTCATGGATACAGCTGCCCCCGTGACCCGATAATGGATAAGTGGATGAAAATAGATGGCTGGATTATTTGAAATTAAATTTACTTGAGTAAAGTATCTAGATTCTGTACTTGTATGGTATAATATCAGACCATTTTAAATTAGTCCTAGGTTCTGAGTAGTGTTAACTTTCTCTTTCATATCGGCCAATCACAGCTCAGACAAAACAAGTTGAAAGTTTAAATTGCCGTATTGAGAATTTCTCAGACGTACGGCATAAAATCAGGGTCCGAGTTTCCAGAGATGAGTTCTGCCACCGTGGCATTCTCCGTTGTAAAAGTGCACATTCATCTAGAACATCATCTGCTGTTCAATTTGTTCTGTGGGTGAGAGAATAACAAGCATCTAATCGATCATTGTCAGGAGAGCCGAGACGCAGCTCTCTGAACGTGACTTTAAGGTTGTTATGTCATAATTGAGGACAATATTATCACCGTGATGAAAAAATAATGTACACTGTGCAAACAAGACTGCAGCGCAATGCTCTGCCCAACGTGCAATTGATTTTGTGCAGTGGGCCGTGGCGGGGCGCTAACCCAGGCTCAAGTCAAGCACATCCTGGTTAAAATGCATAAGAGGCTGAGCCGTCTTTTGGAAAAAAAATAAACATTTAAGCCTCACTGTCACTCTGCTGCCTGCTCCAGTCCTGTGCTGCCTTATTCACACTGTATCCTGCCTCTCTCTCTCTCTCTCTCTCTCTCTCTCTGTCTCTTGTCCTCTTCCCCACTGCACTCTCTCCATAATGCTTCATGTCCTCTCTCCTGCCTTGTACAGTATGTACCCACATAGTTGAGCAGAGCCAAGCTGAGCCGTCCAGGCCCATCTGCTCACCCCGATAGTAACGGCTTTAATAAAAACACCGTTTGGGGATGAGAATTGAATTTCATACTTGGACGCCCCGACACTACATGTGTTTCGTTTTAATAAAGAAAAAGAGTGTGAGGGAAGAGAGAGAGAGGGCGGGAGAGAGAGGGTGAGAGAGACGCTGGTGCAGAGCCACTCAGCCAAAAGAAGATAGGCCCAGGCTTTTCTCATTTGTGCTCACATTCTTGCTTCCTTTAGCTCAGCTGTGTGTTTGCCGTTCCGTTGGGGAAGCTCAGGGGTGGGGGAGAGGACGGGGGAGAGGGTGGAGGGACATATGCCATGTCAATCATGGCATTTCCACTCTTTTTAAGAGATAAGTGTTCAGTCATTTCAAGAACTGGGTTCTACTCTTTTTAAATGTGGCGCGGCAGATTTGAAATCAATAAAATTCACCCTCATTGATTCCATTTTATAAATGCTGCCAGAGGTGAACGATCAGATGTTATCAGTGAGAAGCAGTTTCTGCTGGTGGACAATAGAAGAAAGAAATAATAATTATAAAAAATTCTAATATGAAGTGAAACAATAAACATCTAATATTTTATTAGGCTGCTTATAATGAAAAAACATTTTTTTATAAATTTAATTTAAGATAGAGATGCCACCTGTAACCCATGGTACTCCCCACATTGTCCTGCTCTGATATCATCTTAGTCCCAAATTTCTTTAAATTAGAACTTAGATAGTATTGATTTGTCATCAAAAGTCCAAAAATATGATGAAATCATTTTAGGGTTATATCAAGGTTTCCCAAAGTGAGGGGCGCCCCCTCCCAAGAGACACAGAGATATTGCAGGGGGGCTGCAGCGGGGCAGAGTTATTTCAATTCAATCATTCCTTTATTTGTGTCACTTTTTTTTTTTCATCTCTGTATTTCCTTAATAGTCAGACAGTTGGTTCAACCCCTTGGTCTCTGTGGGGGTTTTCTTTATTTTCCTCAAATGGTCTGAGAACATGCACACACAGGGATTAGGTTGATCAGAAACTTCAAACTGACCATAGGTGTGGTTGTGATTGTGAGGAGAGTTGGACTGGTCAACTGTCCAGGGTGAACTGATGACTGCTGGGATTGATTCCAGCTAACCCTTAATCCCTGGAAAAGATTAAATAGTGGAATATTAATTGTTCAATAAATATTTTTTATCATTCAGAGCTGTTTTCTATTGCTTTGATAGTAGATTTTTAGAGACAAGCTTTTTTTAGTGAGAAAAGTGTCTGTGTCTGTCTGCAGCCATGAAGAAAGCTCACAGCATCTGTCATCACTGAGAAATGAGACGATTGTTCCAATAAACAAAAACCAGGAATTGATTTGTCTCCTTGTCGTTTCCATTCTGAGCACTGTGAAAAATTCCATTTGCCCAACTGTGTTTGGTGGATAACTATGTGTCACAGCTGTTCCCCAGCTCCGCGGATGCTGTCGTTGAGCGTGGTTGTCGTACTGCAGATGGAAATGCTGAGCGCAGCAAGCTTGTACCGGGGCAGATTCAATCACAACAACACGGCAAATCTCTGAGATACACAGAAGCTATTGATTGGTTAAAATATACCCGGGCCATCAACATCTATCAGAAGTCAGTCACACAGAGAGAACTCAGAGATTTTATTTATTTGTATGTTCATTCATTCGCTATTTTTGTTAATTTATGCAGCTGGGACGATGATGTGTTATGATCCAGTCCTGTCAGAGACAGAGACCTGTTTGGTTGTCCATTGGTCTGATCTCAAAAATAATTCAATGAGTGATGAACATCACTCTGTAAAAATGAATAAAAACCTGAAAAGTTCACGCAAGTCAAACACCATACGTAGATTATATTGTATATTATATATAACTTAACTGTAGTTAAGTGTTGTTTCATTTGTTGTTTCATTTTCTGTTAAGTTCAATAGCTGTGGCATGTAGATAATTTTTATTTTTTTATTAAATGAAATGAGTGGTGAAAATGGCCCACACATTAACTGTGTTTAAAAACTTTTACATTAAACGTTATTATGAAAAATGAAACTAATTTGCAAACATGAACATTACAGATTGAGACTTTAAGAAATGTTATTGTACCCCCCCTTTTTTCTTTTTTTTAACTATTGACTAAGTCAGTCATGTGCAGTAGGTATTTATGAGCAGCAGTTCATGTTGCATTGTATTTGTAATGATATTTCAACACAGATAAGAAGGTAAGAACCACAACATTAATTCCAGTCTAAAAATTAATGTATTTTAAAAGCTGTGTTAAATGATGTGCTTTCCTGTTTAACTCCATCCAGCAGGAACATACCAACTGTACACACGTTGTCACTTCCCGAGCCTGGAGGCGATCTGGTGGTGTTCCTGCAGTGAGGCAAAAGTGTTCACCACTCTCACATTGTGCAGTCCCACAGTGATTTTGTTTTACAGACATACTTTTGAAACAGCATGGTCATAAGAACCAACTCCTACAGGTTTAAAAGAAATATGTTCCAGCACCAAGGTACCTCCTCAGGTGAAGAAAAAAAAACAACTAATATTGACCCTGCAGTGTCTCAGGCTATAATCCTGCATGTCCCTGACACAGTGGTCAACAGGTTTACTCACAGGTTACTCCTGCAGGAGCTGCCCTGACACATCAAATGAAGCACAAACAAAAGCAAAGCACAGCACCGCAGGAGGAGACGCAGTTAATAAAATGCTTTGGAGGAGTTCCCAGCCATCTGCAGAGACCCAGCAACAAGTGGTGAGAAAAATAAAACACATTTAGCCAAAAGAGAGAGAATACCGACACTTTTCCAACGCCAAAAGAAAACAAAACAATTAAAACAGTTAACTTTTCATTGAGATTGTGCCAATTATCCTGCCATACAGTACATGAAACAAATGACGATTGTTGTTGGTTAAAATTAGTTTTTGTCTAAAAAGAAAAACAAAATTGGAAGCATTTTAATATTTGAGTTGGACAACACAGGTGTTAGCACAAACACTGTACCTGCTAATGGTTGCTTAAAATAGCACAAAAGCTAACGTGTAAAATGTAGATTTAAACATCATGTAAAATTCGGCAAATGTGCAAATATATTTCCTTATATTCAGACAAAATAGAAAAAGATATTTTTCAATAATGAAATGGATTTTTTATTTTGTATGCAGAGGGTGACCAACCTTTCTGAAACTTTCTGAGCTATACTTCATGGGTATTGAGTAATACAAAGAGTTTCTTGTTTTATTATTATTATTATTATTATTATTATTATTATTATTATTATTATTATTATTATATTAATATATAATAATCAATACCAGTGGCCAGGGGGCTACCAGATTCTCCTTCATCCCATGTTAGTGACCCCTGTTTTTCATTACATCCATTGCTCATATAACATTAGGAAAGTGAACTACTTGTCACTGTGACACTCCACACAACGAAACGTGACCTCTCAAGCCATCACTAAAGTGAACAGGGGGCAGCTTAAGGTCCACTTTGGGAGCAGTGAGTGGGAAGGTTCAGTGAGGAAATGCTAACTCAAACTGAACAAATGAATTCACACTTCCAACTAAGTCCACATATGACAAAGTTAGATAAGCAGCTTAAATAAGCAGGTTTATTTAATGTTATAAGGAGAACATGTTAAAAAAAGGCTCCATTTGGTCAGGTTGGACTGAGGGACTGGACACAGCTGTGAGTTAGCTGTGGGTCGTTAATGAGGGAGGAGGAGGAGTTAACGAGGCACAGGTGGTGATGGGTCAGTAATCACTGAGGAGGGAAACTCAGTGGGCAGGGACAGGGACAGGGACAGGAGAGAGGAGTGGACACACCAGGCAGGGAGAGAACCACAGGGTGAGTCAATGGGAAACTGAAACTATAAAGAACCAAAATCACAAGTTAACCCCATAAACAGGGCACCAGGAAAAGTGCTCAAAGTTAGCCAAGTGGTTGTACTCAGTCATTTGCAATTTTAAAATTAGATTTGAGATAATAATGAAACAAAAATAAGTAAAGGAAATTGTGCTTTTGCACCATGTTATTGTTTTAAAAAAAGACTGTTTCCAATTAATTTAAAATACAGCACAGAACCCATTGTTATTCCAGCCAGGAGAAAGTCACAAGCGCACGTGAGCGTGCACACCAACAAATATAATATTTACACAGTCCTCTTCAGCTGTGACCGGCTATCATGTGAAAAATGAATAGATGGATGAAATGTGGTAGTTTTTTTTTTTTCTGGGTGAGGAAGAAAATGCCTGGTGAGAGAAGCAGATGAGAGGAGCACAGAAGAAACATTATGGGATACAAACAGGAAAGGAAGAGAGAGACAGGAAACTGGTGACAAATTGCAAATGCTCGGCAGCAGCTCTGAGTGACAGGCCAATCATCTTACTAGCACATCTTGAGGCGATGCCAAGCTGACTGTTATTAATTGAAATGTGATTGGAGGACGCAGGATGGGGGGAGGGGGGGGAGTTGAGGGTGGGCTGCAGACAATCTAATCCACATCAGAGCAATTAATAACACATTCACTCTTCTTTTCTTTTCTTTCCTCCCTGCTCTCATCACTGCTGATATTTCCAATGGTGACTAGAAATTAGAGAAAGGAGGGAGAAATAATTGAAAAGGGATGAATCTGGAAGGAGGCGTCTGAGGGAGGGGGGGGGATTAATTTGTGCAACAATTCAAAGGGTGGCCCCAGGGGGGTATTTTTTATTCTTTAAATTCCCTTAGTGGGTTGGTAATGGCCCAAAATCTTTGGATGGTTTTGTGCATGCATCTCATGTAACGCTGAGAGTTGAGGTTCTTTCGATTCTTCCCTGATAATACTTTAAATGGTTGGCTTTTGTTGGCAGAAGTACTTTTGAAGGCACCTGCAGGCTGTAAAGGAATATTAAGGTCATATTTCTTCCATTCTTGAGGGTTTTAGCTTCTTTCTTTATAGCAGTGCAACTGCAGTGCACTGTAACACTCACTGTATGAAGGACAGAGACAAAAGAGGCCGAGGGTTGAGCCCACCGCCCCGTGAGCCTGCTCAGGGCTAAGATATTATTTTAGCTGAATAATAAAGATGCCACAACACGTGATATACAGAAGATTGTTTGTTTTTTATCTTATCTGAGTGACAAAAAGGCCAAGTCATAAAACATCTTTGTCTCAAGTGCAATGCAACAAGAAAAACAGCCTGCTGTACTAAAATATAAAAATAAAATAACATTTCTAAAATAAAAAACACGAGTTATTAAATAAAAAGGAAGGATACAACATATTTAAGTCTTTATTATATTTATTAATAGTATTATAATTATTATTTACACATAATCTACAGTAGATTAGGACTAGGAAAAGTGTATTCCTAATATAATATAATAAAAATAAAAATTTTTCCGCAGGACCCCACTAAAGATTCCCTGCTGTTTGTGTGACTGTGAAACCCATGGACTCCTCCGAAAAGGTAGGATCCAGCACCCTCACACCTGTGTACACCTCTGTTGGCCACCACAGTAAGGAACCAATCATTGGTGTGGTGTTTATTCAACTATGATTTTGGCAACTGTTTTTGCAGCTCAGTGTCACTCTGATATTTGTACTTCGTATTGTACTACTCCACCATGCATGTTTGGCCTGTTAGTTATGCATCATTATCAATCTCCTTCTGTGTATATGTTGCTTATAAATTGTGATTCACTTTTTCACGTATCTCATCCAACAACATAAAGTCCTTGTTATCAAGGTCAACGTCAGCTGCCACTGATTTACTTGTTCTGGGAGAGAGTGAAAAGGAGAAACCGTTGGTTTATCTTCATTCAGACAGTCAAGGTCTGACACTCCGCATCAGGAGTCTATCTGGCATCGCATGTCTTTAGTTTGTTGGATTTGTACATGTCTTTGGTGTTGATACAGACTGGGCAGACGTGTGAACAGAACATTTTTGAGTTCATCTTCCACCTCTCACATAAGCTAAAACTGGGACAAGAGACGGCACTCGGCTCATGCTGAAAACCAGCCTGTATGTAAAGTTGTGGACATGGCTGTCCAGAACCTGGTGCACTGTAATCTCACACATAACACACACACTCACTACCAAGCACACACTGAGCCGTCAAGGTTGGCAATGATCGCCCCCTGTGTTTATAACGACCTACTCTGAGCTGATAGGTGAGATGGTAGCCGCAGCTTTCTTTGTCTCAGGAAAACAAATCTTTGTGGCTTTCACCCTGACATTTTTCCCTATGGCTGAGAGCACTTATAGTGTGTTATAGTGTGCACACATTATGAATGCTGTATCAAACAAATGACTGCCTCTTCACTAGGGACTGTCAGTATAAGAGGAGCGGCGCCATTGTGAACAGCTGTATTAGTCAGTGAAAAGGCTCTGAGAGGAATCCAGCAGCACATAGAAAAGCTGTATAAAACTTAAGGTCTCAGCTACGTCTGCTCAACCTTGGCCCTTTGTATTCAGAAAAGGGAAAAAAATTCTAGCTCTGAGACCTTTAGATATTATTTGAAATGGTTTGAAAAACATTTTCAGAAAATACATGAAAGAAAGTAATTTTCAGAGTAGCTGAGTGGGCAGAGCTGATTCTTCTTCTGTGGGGAAAAGTATCGAAGACCTTAAAGTACATGTCGTAAAAGTTACCTTGACGATAGAAATGAATAATTAAATTGGAGAAAAACTCTTTGGCCTGAATGTGTTTAGACATCACTAACATTAACTCTACAACGTTACAGACTGTTTGTTGCGTTTCTTTTTTGGTGGGTCGGAGCTGTAGCAGGTGATGAGTGATGAGAGAAGATTGTCTGGACAACATACTGTACTAGGACTGAACTGCTGCCACTTGGCACTGGATCCTGAAGCAGGGCTAATATAAGGACATTCAGTCTACTGGGCTTCATGCCAAGAAAGATGACCACATTTATGACTTTTGGATTTAAATTAGGGCTGACAAATGATAAAAATGTAATCTGATTAATGAAAGGGTGGCACACAGCGTAGCTCATCTAGTCTTGATTAATCTTGATCATACTTTAACCTGTTTCATTCTGATTCATCAACATTCCATGTACATAGAAAAAAGACATTTTTCAATATATTGCTGGAACATAAAGACAATGGGCAACAGAAGGTAAATATCTGTTTCACAGCCTTTTTGATTTGTGACTAATCCACATGATGGAAATATTTATATGGAAAAATGTCTAGTTTCCCCACACTGTAGGTGCTTAATAGTCACTCAGTGTTTTTCAGTTTTGACTGTGGATCTCGATAGTATGGTAGTTTGTAGAATTTATTGAGAGTGGCTTCGATAACTTTGAGAAAAGTTGTTGTTATCAACAATAATCATCAGTGTACAATTGTTCTGTATCCAATTTGTTGGCATGGCAGCAGTAGACTTAGTCACTGCCATGCACTCTGCTGTAGGCCATGTACCTGAACTGAAGTTGAAGCCTCCACTAATACATGCCGGGCAATGAGATGGTATTTAAATCCTGAAGTGCTTTGTGAAAAGAAGTATTGTTTTAATGTCCACAAATAATTTTTTTTTGTATCTAATTAATCTCCACAAACCAATTAACCCCAGACTTACTGTAGTATTGGTGATAGCTGAAATTGAAATGTAGTGAAAGGACTCCACGAAGAGACTGTCATGAAACCCAGAGTGGTGGTGAAGTATATGAGGACGGTGCAGTGCGTGTGTCAACGCATGACCGTGTTGATGGCCAACCAAAACATGGCTGGACATAAACAGAGGTCATGTCTGGTTGGACAACTGAATATATGAGGGCAGCACAGAGAGGTGCAGTCGGAGTCAGGGATGCAATCTAGGTAGGGGAGGGGTCTCATCAAAGAATGTCTTGATTGGAACAGTCATGGACAAATTGTGATGCTGAGAAGCTGTTTGATGAAGGAAAACTCCAGTAGAAGAAGTAGAAGACAGGAGATCCATGGTTGTAGCTAAGCACAGCATCAAGTGGTTGACCACAACGATGAAGAGGATTTACATTACACAATTTATTTAAAAGGGACCTCTGCCACAAATGAACTATTCTTGGTTGAAAACACATATTGACTTATAGCCAATTAAATTTAAAACTAAAAAGCCAGAAATACAAGACAGTGTCTTGTTTTCTGCAGTGGAGAAAAAAAAATCAATACAGAACCACCCCCCTCCCCCACCACCACTACCAACCTCCACCCCCAAACCCTTCTTTCTCGAGTACGACATTGTATGCTTTATAATTTCTCTTCAGGCTGCTGGTGATATGGACTGCGAAGCAATTGTTTGTCTATTTGAGGCTGTAACCTCACTGTAACTTCGTCCCTGTTGTCAATAAGTACAGAAAACCATTGAATTGGTGTCAGATTGTGGAGAATGTGTCGATGTCTCTAATGAGTGGGGCCTGTCTGAGACGGCTGCTCCCAGTGGAAGACGAGCTATTAGGAATGCAGGGCAGGCTGTCTGTTCTGGATTAATCACAGCCACTGACTGTAGGAAATCAATGGGCTAAATGCTCACACTTTGGCCAGGACACAGACAGACAAACTGGTCTGTTAGCAGAGACCAAGAGGTGACGCTTTCACTCCGCACAGACTGCTATAAAAAGACAGGGGGACAGAGTAGCCACAATCAGTGTTTTTCACAGTGGATATTGACTTGGTATCGACAGCACTGATGTGGATATATGAGACGTTTCCATTCTCAAAGTATGCACAGTCGATTATAAACTGCCTGAATCCACATTAGAATTATTCAACAATTTCCCTCGGGGGATCAGTAAAGTAAATTCTGATTCTTCAGTCCTGCAGCTTTATCACATGTGCTTGAAATGTTTGTTTTAAATAGTGAATAAATAATAATAATAATAATGATGATGGATTGAATGAAGTCTATTGGTCTTTTCCAACACATTTACTGTTGCATGGAACAGTCCTTGGCCACCCAGGTTTGACTGTTTTAACCAAGAACATAACACACAAGCTGAAATGTTTTAAAAAGTCTTTTAAATTCTTAGCAAATACATCAGAACAAACAAAACTGTTTATGTAAAATAAGTCTTTAAATAGTTGGCAAATGAAGCATCTCAGCATCTCATCTTTTTAAATAATTTAAGATTTTTATGGAGGTGATCAGTTTGAGGGCTTAAAATCAATAGGATAAAAAACATTCTGTAACAATTGATAAAAAAAACACCAGTGTGTTAATAGCAGCCACAAAAGAAGAAATGTAAAAAGCCAAATTCTAAATGTAATGGCAGGTTGGAATTTATTGAAACAGAATATTTGCCCCTGCATTGATTCAAGGTTGGCTTTGGAATCCAGGTTTTAAAGCTGGATACTACAAGGTTTCGCTGGCCTTAATGGCTACCAATGTGTATATACGTATATTTTGTATTTTGTATTTCCTGTGTAGTCTGAGTATTACCATAATGCCAGGAACTTCCCCTGTCCTTCAGGAACTTGGACTTGGAAGGAAACGCTCTTCTAAAGGAGTGACCTTGACCTTGAGAAGCACAGAGCCTTTTCTCTGCTCCTGCTCTTTGTTTAGCATATTTGGATGCTCACCCACCCTAATTTGCACTTAACACAGAGAGGCTGATGGGAATGTCAATAGTTGTGCAGGTGTTTTGACCCAGCGATGGCCCATTAAAGGTCAGAGGATCAAAGTTATTAGTTCATCCACCAGGGAGAGTGTGCTCTCAAATTCTAAATGTCAAGATATTTCTATAAAAATAGCCTAAATGTCTGTACCAAAATGTCATGGAGATTCATCCAGCGCCTGAATTCTTTCAGTTGCATTGAGCCAAGTCACTGATGGGTGTTAGAACCTCGGGATCTTGTGTCTTGGTGTAGAGGTATTTTGGTTACAGTGTAGGCTAATGAGACTTTTAAACTCTACAGGGCAACAGGTTTATTACTTGGAGCAGCATCAGGGAACAGGGAGCAGCGTTACAGAGTTAGGTCATTATTATTGGTAGGTGAGACCACCTTCACCTCCACGCTGTCAGTTGATTTAACACTAATAAAGTACAGCTGAGGCTGACTGTGGGATCCTGAGGCTGAAATATATCAGCTGAGGATGTTGTAGCAGAATGGATGTACAAAGGTACACACTTTCTATGAACAGGGTTTTTTTTTTTTTTTTTTTTTACCTTCCAGGATTTCACCCCCATGGTGACTCAGCCACCATGGCCGTGCTGAATAGTAAATGGTCTGGATTTCTTTGCTGCTCCTCTATTCTTAATGACCACTAACGGCTCTTTTACACTGTACTCAATACAGTATACATTTTCACCAGAGGCCCAAGAAAAATCCCTGAAGTGTAACTATGGTTTCAGTTATACTCCCCTACACATGGAGGTGAAACTCCATGGACTGGAACCAGTTTTATGAACAGTGTGTTTTTAACAGTACCATCAGCTCATTTATTCAAGAATGCAGGTTATTTTTTGTAA